CTCTGAAGAAGAATCCAATAAAGACCAGAGTAAAAACAAAGATCTGATAGACGACAAGGCAACTTCCAATCATCAAGCCAACGAACGAGAAAAGGAACACACTCGAACTACTGAAACAAGAGCAAGTGAAGATTATGAAGAACAATTAATTAAAGACAGTGACAAACAGGAAATTAGCGAAAAGCAACCAGTGGAAACAGAAGAAAAATTCAATAAGAACAACAGTACGTCCCAAAATCTGATAGACGACAATTCTTCAAAGCACCAACCCAACGAACGAGGAAAGAACGAAATTGAAACTACTGAAACGAAACGCAGTGAAACTGATGATGAAACAGTAATTAAAGACAGTGACGAAAAGGAACATAGCGAAAAACACTCAGTGGAAACTGAAGAAAAACCGAATAAAGACAACCGTGCGCTCAAATATCTAATAGAACCCAATGCAAATTCTAATTATCAAACCAACGAACGGCAAAATGAAAGCATGAAACCTACTGAAACTAAACCCAGTGAACATAATAAAGAAACATTAATTAAAGACAAGGACAAAAACGCCGAGCAAATTTCAGAGGACTCTGAAGGAAAATCCAATAAAAACCAGAGTAAAAACAAAGACCTGATAGACGACAAGGCAACTTCCAATCATCAAGCCAACGAACGAGAAAAGGAACACATTCAAACTACTGAAACAAGAGCAAGTGAAGATTATGAAGAACAATTAATTAACGACAGTGACAAAAAGGAAATTAGCGAAAAGCAACCAGTGGAAACTGAAGAAAAATTAAATAAGAACAACAGTACGTCCGAAAATCTGATAGAAGACAATTCTTCAAATCACCAACCCAACGAACGAGGAAAGAAGGAAATTGAAAGTACTGAAACGAATCGCAGTGAAACTGATGAGAAAACAGTAATTAAAGACAGTGAGAAAAAGGAACATAGCGAAAAACACTCAGTGGAAACTGAAGAAAAACCCAATAAAGAAAACAGTGCGCTCAAATATCTAATAGAACCCAATGCAACTTCTAATTATCAAACCAACGAACGGCAAAATGAAAGCACTAAACCTACTGAAACTAAACCCAGTGAAGATAATAAAGAAACATTAATTAAAGACAAGGACAAAAAAGAAAACGCCGAGCAAATTTCAGAGGACTCTGAAGGAGAATCCAATAAAGACCAGAGTAAAAACAAAGACCTGATAGACGACAAAGCAACTTCCAATCATCAAACCCACGAACGAGAAAAGAAACACATTCAAACTACTGAAACAAGAGCAAGTGAACATTATGAAGAACAATTATATAAAGACAGTGACAAACAGGAAATTAGCGAAAAGCAACCAGTGGAAACAGAAGAAAAATTTAATAAGAACAACAGTACGTCCAAAAATCTGATAGAAGACAATTCTTCAAATCACCAACCCAACGAACGAGGAAAGGACGAAATTGAAACTACTGAAACGAAACGCAGTGAAACTCATGAGGAAACAGTAATTAAAGAGAGTGACGAAAAGGAAAATAGCGAAAAACACTCAGTGGAAGCTGAAGAAAACCCCAATAAAGAAAACAGTGCGCTCAAATATCTAATAGAACCCAATGCAACTTCTAATTATCAAACCAACGAACTGCAAAATGAAAGCATGAAACCTACTGAAACTAAATCCAGTGAAGATAATAAAGAAACATTAATTAAAGACAAGGACAAAAAAGAAAACGCCGAGCAAATTTCAGAGGGCTCTGAAGGAAAATCCAATAAAAACAAGAATAAAAACAAAGACCTGATAGACGACAAGGCAACTTCCAATCATCAAGCCAACGAACGAGAAAAGGAATACATTCAAACTACTAAATTAATTAAAGACAGTGACAAAAAAGAGCATAGCGAAAAGCACTCAGAGAAAATTGAAGAACAACCCAATAAAGACAACAGTACGCTCAAAGATCTGATAGAAGACAATTCAACTTCTAAAAATCAAACCAACGAAGAAGAACAGGAAGACATTAAAACTTTTGAAACAAAGCCCAGTGAAGATGATGAAGAAACATTAATGAAAGACAGTGACAAAAAAGAAAATCCCGTAAAACAGCAGTGTAGTGTACATTCTGATGCGGTTTTATTAATGGACGTATCCCTCAGAATAGATGTAGTAATGATTCTGTTGACTCGCCAGTTTGAAGATACTAATTTTTTGAAAGTACACGCACTTCCGCATGACACAATCAATCTATGGAAGAAACTTTTTAACCAATTAATCAAAATTATAATTTCAAACAAAGAGAAAACAAAAAATTCGGAAAAAGCCCGTAACGCTGTACACCCTCAGGTAAAAATTGTAAACACTCCACCAACCAAACAGTCGCTATACGACAAATTAAAAGAACTAGAGAAATTCCTTGCTGCACTATTCTACAAAAGACAAAAATTAATACCGTTGGGAAATTTAAGAAAGCGAACTGCATTATGTAACAAAATCTTAGGCGACCTTCTTCCATGTGTCGTACTTAAATCCTCAATTGGTAGGGACAACGAACGGAAAGAGGAAAAAAGATATGACAATAAAAAAAGGCCACCCAGAAAAGCTGAACAAGAATCCAGTAAGGACAGAACGTTTAAAAATCTGTTAGAAGACAGCGCAACGTCCAATCTTCAAACCAGCAAACAGAAACAGCAAAATGCTAAATCTTCTGAAGCGAAACCCAGTGAAGATAATGAAGAAACAGTGAATAACGACAACAGCAAAACAGAAAATACCGAAAAACAAACAGCGGAAACTGAAAAAGACTCCAATAAAAACAAGAATACGTACAAAGATCTGCTAGAAGACATTTCAGCTTCCAAGTATCAAACCAACGAACGGGAAAGGGAAGGCATTCAAACAAACAAACAAACAAAACCGAGTGAAGGTGATGAAGAAAAATTGATTAAAGACAGTGACAAAAAGGAAATTAGCGAAAAACAACCAGTGGAAACAGAAGAAAATGTCAATAAGGACAACAGTACGTCCAAAAATTTGATAGAAGACAATTCAACTTCGAATCACCAACCCAACGAACGAGGAAAGGACGAAATTAAAACTACTGAAACGAAACGCAATGAAAATGATGAGGAAACAGTAATTAAAAATAGTGACAAAAAGGAAATTAGCGAAAAACAACCAGTGGAAACAGACGAAAATGTCAATAAGGACAACAGTACGGCCAAAAACCTGATAGAAGACAGTTCAACTTCGACTCATCAAACCAACGAGCGAGGAAAGAAAGAAATTGAAACTACTGAAACGAAACGCAGTGAAGATGCTGAGAAAACAGTAACTAAAGACAGCGACAAAAAGGAAAATATCGAAAAACAACCAGTGGAAACTGAAGAAAAACCCAATCAGGACAACAGTATGTTCAAAAATCTGATAGAAGGCTGCGCAACTTCCAATCTTCCAACCAACAAACAAGGGAATGAAGACACTAAATCATCTGAAACGAAACCCGGTGAAAATAACGAGAAAACAGCAATTAAAGACAAGAACAAAAAAGAAAATACTGAAAAACTATTAGCGGAAGACAACAGAACGTTAAAAAACCTGATAGAATGCAATGATCAAACCAATGAACGAGAAAAAGAAGACATTAAAAGCACTGAGACAAAAGCCAGTGAGGCTAATAAAAAAACATTAATTAAAAACAGTAACAAAATGAAAAACAGCGAAAAACAATCAGTGGAAACAGGAGAAAAACCTAATAGGGACAAAAGTACGTTGAAAAATCTGATAGAAGACAATTCAACTTTGACTCATCAAACCAACGAACGAGGAAAGGAAGAAATTAAAACTACTGAAACGAACCTCAGTGAATATAATGAGAAAACAGTAATTAAAGACAGCGGCAAAAAAGAAAATAACGAAAAACAATCAGTGCAAACTGAAAAAGAATCCAATGAAAAGAAGAATACGTACAAAGTTGTTATAGAAGACAATTCAACTTCCAATCATCAAACCAATGATCGAGAAAAGGAAGACATTAAAACTGCTGAAACAAAACCCGGTGAAGATAATGCAAAAACATTAATTAAAGACAGAAGCAAAAATTTAAAGAGTGAAAAACAATCAGATCTGATAGAAGAGAATGCAACATCCGATCATCAAACCAACGAACGAGAAAAAGAAGACATTAAAACTTTTGAAACGAAACTCAGTGAGGCTAATAAAAAAACATTAAAGAAAGACGAGGACAAGAAAGGAAATTCCGAAAAACTATTAGCGGAAGCCGAAGAAGAATCCCGTAAAAACAAGAGTACGTCCAAACACCTGATAGAAGACAGCGCAACTTCCAATAATCAACTAAACAAATCAGAAAACATTAAAACTACTGAAACAAAAGCCAGTAAGGCTAATGGAAAAATCTTTATTAAAAACAGTGACCAAACGGAAAAGAGCGGAAAACAAAGTGCGAAAACTGAAGAAAAATCCAATACAGACAGCAGTTTGTCCAGCTCCCGAAGAGACGACAACGCAACTTCCAATAGAGTTAGCAAAAATTGCGAAATGAATAATGATAGAAAAGCAAGTGTCTTAGATGTAAAACGTGCTGATGCACCACAACAATCGAATAATCAGCCTTTTCGTAAGCAAACAAACGTTTCTTCCTTGACTGAATCAGTTGCTGTTTCTTCTTTACACAATGAGAATACCGCTTCTACTAGTGCACTAAGCAAATATAATTCAACTGCATTAAACCGATTGGATATTGCTTGCATTAACAATGAAAATAAATTAGCTGAAAAGGATATAAGTAAAAAACATGTTATTTCTAAAGATGAGACTTCTCTATTTCTTAATCTGACCTGCAAGCTCCAAATCATAACGAATCAAATATCCAAAAAACTTGAAAAAGTTGCTATTTTGGACGCATATACACCTACGGGCAAAAAAAACACACTCTTGGCAAAACTTATAAGACAAGCAACCATAATCCTAGAGTCCAACGAACAAACAATGCTAAGTCTCACTTCAACCCTTGATCGTCAAATGCGTACAGCAGAGAACGATTTAAAAGTCTTTATAGAAATGATAGCAAATGGTAGGGCAAAAAATACGTCCGATGCAAACATATGTTCCAATGCATCTCGAAGCGATTCTGGCAAAACCCAAAAGGCACAAACCGCACAAGGTCCATTCGATAAACTGGAAGAACTACAGCAATTGTTTGCCACGCTATTCACCAAGAAAAACAAATTAAAACCATTGGAAAGGAGAGAGAGAATTATAATAACTGGGAATATATTAGACTATTTTATTCCATGCTTGGTAAGTATGTTGTTAAATCAATATCAAACGAAGGACAATAAACGGGACAATCATCAATCCAACGCACGAGAAGGGCAAGACATTACAACTGCTGGAACTAAACCCAATGAAGATGATGCGGATACATTAATTGAAGACAGCAAAGGCAACAGCGCGTCCAAAGATCTGATAGAAGACAATGCAACTTCCAACATAATGAGCAAAAAAGATACAATTAATAATGATGAAAAAGCAAGCACCTTAAATGCAGAACGTGCCCAACCACAATCTTTCTTGGGTGAATCTATTTCTGTTTCGTGCCTGAAAGATGCCAATAGCGTTTCAACTAGTTTGGAAAACAACGAAGCCCAAGCACAAGGTACAGATTCACAAGAAAATCAAACAAAAAAGCTCAAAATAAGAAACGTAACACTTTGTCATGAAGATTTAGATGAAGATCCAGACTCACAAATGTTAAGAATTTTTGAAAATGAGACCATACCAACTGAACTTGAAAGTGTAGAAGAAGAATCTGAGATTGATCAGTTGCGTAATAACTCGAGTGACGATAATTCAGACGATCAAGACGAGCCTCTTTTTAAACTATCCGAAACGCTGCCAGAATTGTATGGCACGGAAATATCAACAAGTCAGGAAGTCTTTGATGACAATATCGATAAAGAAATCACTGATACCAAGAACAAAGACACAGAGAAACAATTAGGCGAAAATAAAGCACATTCCGATATATATCAATCGATTTTGCAAATAGTGAACAGTCACGAGGTTGAGATTGTAACTTCCGAACAAGGGGTTCAAAACACCCACTTTAACAATGATGATGAATTACTTAACTTGACAAAACAGCCAAACGATGAAAATGTAATTCCCATGCTACTTTCATTTGAGGACATATCGAAAGCTCTAAAAAATTCACAAAGGAAACGAGCTAAAATTGCTTATTTATTGGACAACCTATGTGAAGCTTTGAAACGCCCCTCCAATGCAGAAGAAACCATGAGCCAAGCAATATCAATTTTTACAGAATCTAATTCTGCAACTGAACCCTTACCCACCACCGAACTTGAGTCAAGTCAGTTGCTTCAGCCCCAAGCAAGCGAAGATATCCAACCAAAAGAACCAAAAGATGATATTGCTATGCAGCTCATCTCTAATCAGACTCTTCACAGCCAAATAGAAGCAGATCTAGACAACATGACATTTACTCCTGAAGCATCAGCCATAACGTTCAGGCAAAAATATGAATATGACCCGGACAATCAAATAGAAAAAACTGAAGCAACTGAAAGCATAAGTGACGATACTTTGGTGGAAAACGATCAGGAAGAAATCCTTGAACAAGAAACTAAAATATTATGTGATGAAATGATATGTGAGTCTTTAGCGAAACTATTGGAAATTTTATTCATGAATATTGAAAGAAACCAGAATACAATCAGTCTAATCAGACTACTTGCTAGCAAGATGATACGTGTTCAAGAAACAATCAGTCAATGCATAAGCAGCGACGAGATGCTAATGTCAGTTATTATAAGAAAAAAAATGAGGACGTCAAGGATATCATATAAGAGTAAAATTGAGTATATTAAGGATATCATACAAGTTCCCAATATCAAACACCTCATTGGAAAAGAAAAAGAGGAAAGTCTATCAGTAGAACTTGAAAACAGATCCTGCCAATCCAGCGGCTTCTTGGCAATACTGGAAAATGTTGTTTGCAAAATTGTAGATGTACAGAAGTCTGATAAAGCAATAGAAAATATAAAAACCCGAATTAAACTAAATAAAACCATTATTAACTTTCTTATCTCGACTTATTCGCAACTTCTTGGACAAGACATTCCAAAGCCAGAAAAATGCCTAAATTATGAAACGTCTTCCACTGAACTCATTAAACGTGAGTCTGCTGACTGTTTGGGAAAAAATGACCTTAAAGTGACTGAAGAGACGCCTTCAAATCAGCAACTTGATGAAACGACCGAAAAAATCCATCAACAAAAACCAGAAACTGTCGGTGAAAGTAATGAGGAAGTCGAAAGAATCAAGCTTCCACAATGTATTGAAAGTTCAAT